CACTAGTTGTAACTAACACCCAGATAGTGAATGTTTTATAAGAAAAATTAAAATTAGAAAAAAAAACTATAAAAGCACAGAAAAGTGACAATTTGTTGTAAAATGGCTAAAACAGCTGAAATTTACAGTAAAACAGATAAAATGTAGCTGGAATTTTTTTAACTAGCATAAGGAGCCCACATTTGCTGAACATAGCAGAAATAAGTTGTAATAGCTTTAAAAATGTTTATTTAACTTAAAAAAGTTAACTTTAGCTAATAACAGCTGAACATTAGCTGACTTTGCAGTAAATAGCTGAATATAGCTGAAAACATCTGTAAGAAGCATTAATACTGTTTAACAAATTACCAGAAAAAAGCACAAAAAACAGAAGAATAGCAGAAAGAAGCTAAAATTAGCAAAAAATAATCTAAATGTAGCACACTCAAGTTGAAATTAGCACCCAGATGGTCTAACTATTTTTTTCTGGATCATATTTACAAAACCATTAGCACCAGTATTTTGCAACACCATTTGACTGGCCAGCTGAAACACAGCAGGTAAAGAAGTGTTCCTCTGGTGAACTTTGATCATGTCATTACTAAATCAGTTTGTGACATTCTGACCATCACTGCACCCTTCACCACCCTGCAGCTAAATTTGTGTTGTGATTATTTAAACAGGTTCAAAATTCAAGCAACACAACTGCAAAATCCTGTGACCTACTCAAGGACACCGAAAACTCTTGCTTATGTTAAAAAAATGGTTCAGAAACTCCCTTGCAGATACAGCCCAGTGAGAAACCAGCTTTAATGAAGTGGTTGTGGATAAGTGGGCTCACTGCATGGTCTTAAAAAGACCAGTGGACTGAGTCGGTAGCTTTCAGCACTTTGTTTACAGCAGCTGTTGTCTCAGGCACAGGGCCAGACGCTGCAGCGTCACACAGCTGTCCCTGACCCGCTGAGCGACGGTGGGCCACACGCCGACTGGGACCTCCTGCCCTCAGAGACTCACTAACTCTCTGAAGCACCGTCCTCCAGAGTCTGAAGAGTCAGGGAGATAAAATGTCCTCTCCTCCCTCCTTAATGTTTTCATTACAGCCAGAAGAAAAATGAGCCTTTCAAAACAATAATCATTTTGGATGAGATTAAAGTTTTTATGAAAGACCACAAAGATAATAAAGAATATCTACAGAAATCTCTTTTAAATCCTAAGTTAGCCACCATATCATTACATTTTTACTTAGTACTTACTAAGTACTTAGTAAATAAGACCCTAAACCGAACCAGACCCRTCAACGATACGAGGGCTGCTTTTGTCCTCATAGTAACAGTGAGTCCTCACCAGGCTGTGTACCAGGAAAATGGTCAAAAATAGTCCCCAGGTAGCAAAATCATGTACACACACACACACACACACACACACACAC